TAAACAAATACCCAGAATATGATGAAGTTCATGAAATAATGCGAGATGATGTTCAAAAGAAAGATTATACACTTGAGTTACATAATGAAATGAAAACAATGTATGAGAACCTAGATACATTTGACTTCTATGAGTGGCATCAGGAGAAAATTAATTATTACAAAGATGTTTTATGTGGTTATTTTCATTATTATCAACGAGTAAATCATATTTTTATTAAAATCATATACCATTTGAAAAGCACCAACAATAATGTATCTGTTGAAATTTTATATTTTGAAGAAACAACACAGTTCTTAGATGAGATGATAGTTCAAAATTCTAAATAAGATAGTCTCCTCACCAACATAGTTATAGTGTAATTATAATACATAAGCAGTTATATATTATAATTACAGTGTAGTTACAACATGATCGGAGAATCCGAGAAGATAAAGCGAATGCTTTACCCTAAACCCTAAACCCTGAACCAAATTCTACGAGGAACCCCTTGCCTATTTAGGCCAATAATGCCACCTTAGAGATAATAGATGGGGTAATGGTTATTCCTAGAATTGTGTTGATAATGGGGAAGTAGTAGTGATATATCGGTGAAGTTTAGGGGGGAACCTAGGAATGATCATCTAATGGGGGAAGTAGTAGTGATATATCGGTGAAATGTAGGGGGGACCCTAGGAATTCGTAAAAATGATCATCTAATTGATTGGCGGTGGCATTATTAGCCTAAATAGGCAAGGTACACTCTGACTAGTTTAGGGTAGGGGGCGTTGCAAGCAAGATGCCCATTTGGGGGTTACATGTACTAGAGTTTAATTACTCTTTGAAGTGTGTTATCTAGGGGATAATGTCAGGATTAAGGGTTTAGGGTCTCAACTCCTTAAAGGGGGTTATATAGGAGATTATGCTACAGGGGCTCTAAGGGGGATACTAGGAGCTTAGACGCTAGCTCACATGAAACTGTTGCGAGGTGAGAAGAAGTCATGGCAGGCGAACCAGACAAGACCGGGCTCCCGGCAAGCCAGACAGCACTAAATGCGTGTCAGAGAGATCAAGCTCACGCATTTCTGGCCCGACCTTGGAACAGAAACCACCAAGCTCAGAGGGGCCTGTAACTTACCTGTGTAGTTTCCATTTTATTTTCCATCATCCCAATAAAACCCCAAAATACTATAGTACTTCCGAAATTTTGGGGTACTCTCAGAGGGACAATGGAAAAGAAAATTGAAACTACTGCTTGTAGTGCCAACAGCTCGCCTCAACAGACTCGACAGTCTGGGCCGGCTGCACCTAGGAGCCAAGGAAAGCTGATGGAAATAACGATCATTGAGTAACTTGCACGGCGAACCCTGAACCCTTAAGCCTAGAACCTAAACCCTTGGGTCATTGGCGTTACAGGTAGATCCAAGCCTAAACCCTTCGGTAATTGGGGTTACAGGTAACCCAAAAACACCCTTCAAACCTATTATAGTAGTTATCATACTCTTGTCCATTATCCCTATGTATAACCCCAACATATATATATATATGTACCCTAACAACCATTAAACCCTAACCTTAAACCCTAAACCATAAACCCTAAACCCTAAACCCTAGCTAAACATCCAACCTGCTGCGTGGGCACCCACAGAGAGGGCCCCTGAGGCTCCTCAAGCTCCTCAGCCTCACTGTCGTCCGGCTTCTCCCAGCCTCAAAATGCCACGGCGGTGTAGGGTTTAGGGTTTGGGGGTTTAGGGGTTTGGGGTTTGGGGTTTGGGGGTTTAGGGTCCAGAGGCCTAGGGGTTTAGGGGTTTAAGGTTTAGGGTTTTGGGGTTTAGCGTTCAGGAAAACCAGTACACCTATATACTTACTAGTTCTCATTAGGGAACAAGGCCGGGAACATTATCCCTATATAGTCCTACATAACATGTTCCCTAACTCCCTACTAAGAGCCATTAAGTCTATAGTCCCCTTTAAGTAGATAGAATATGGCTTTGGGTATGTACTAATAAGATCCCCACATATCCCATATCCTATCTACTTCAGGGGGACCCTATTATAAAATAGTTGTTTCCATTTTCTTTTCCATTATCCCTATATAACCCCAATATATACCCTATAATCCCAATAGAACCCATTTTCGTAGTTTCCGTCTTCTTTTCCATTATCCCTATATATCCCCATATATATTCCTCAAGGGGGACTATAGACCTTGGACCGGAACACCAAAGTGAGGCTCTTGCGGAGATTTCGGCCAGTTGGTGGCAGCTTCATGCGTGCAACTCCTGCTCTTCACGGCACTATGCTCACTAGGGTTTAGGGTTTAGGGTTGAGCCTAGTAGGGAAGAAGGGAATACACTAAATAGGGACTATGTAGGGATTGTATTCCCTTATTCCCTACTAATCCCCAGTAAGTTTCCGCTGTAGGGGTTCTCGCCATCGAAGCCAACCTTGAAGATGCAGCCCCTTGGCACGCCGTCAACCACCTCTGCAG